GTTTATGAACGTAGAAATGATCTATATGAACATTCTAGTCACTAGATATATCAATGGGCTTACCTCGAAGCTTAACGAAGGTTTTAGAAATTTTCCGGCGAAACTTCCGGCGACGATAACTCTTAGCTCCAGCGATTCCACACCAAATTGACAGCACCACAACACTCCTTACACTCAAGGCTAACTTTTAAAAGAAATTTGAGGGAGAATGGTGAAGAAATGAGGAAATTGGCTTCCTTATGTAATGGAGAGAAGAAGAAGAAGAAGCCAAGAATGTTTCCTTCACAAATCCTGCGATCGGCGTAGTGGGGAAGGAGGCGCCGTCTAAACAGTTCCCTGATTGGGACCAATTTTGCTTCTAGTCAGGGTACACTTTTTGGTCCAATTTTCTCCGAATTGAAATCTGATTGTATCGTTGCGATCAGACAGTCGAGCTCTATCCAATGATATACCTTTCATAATTATTTGTAATACTTTTTCCGACATCATATTTTTGGGTGGTTGACTTTGACAGGGTAAAAGTTAATTCAGTTGACTTTTATTCAAAGAGGTTCTCATATTTAATTAATATTAAGTATTATCATGATTTATTTCAATAAATCATTTTAAAGTCCACTACATAACTAACTTCTTTATTTATTCTTGATTTGTGTCGGTACTCAGGTTCCTAATCAAGACCACACAAATGCTCAACATATTGGATTTATCTATATGAGATTTATCTCGATTGTGATATTGGATATCAGAACATATTTCTTATTGGCTCAAATCTCAACAATAATTTATTTTAATCAAAACAAATTTGATTAATTTGAATAATTATCTATTACTAATTATATGGTATGTTTTGGGGCGTTACAGGATATCTTAGGGTTTTACCCGGGATAATTGTTCAAGACGAGCTATTTGGAAGGAAATCGGGTAGAAACAGGGAGCCATGGATGGGATGATTTTGGCCTACCTCTGATAAGTCTATTATTTGTGCATGTGTTGTTATATTTTGTTAGACTTATTAACTTTGTTTTTATATTAAATTGAGTAAATTCCATAATGGGTCTTTTATAACATGGGTGTTTCCCTATTTAGTCCTCTATTATCAAATATTACCCTAGTAGTCCTTCTTTTATGGGTACCTTTCCACAAATAGTCCTTTTTTTGATCTTCTATCATGTTGGTGTTAATTTGAGGGCTAAAAGTGTAATTTCACAATGATAAAATATCTTTTCTGTCATACACAATTCCAAAGACTGTTCTGTTTGCATCGTTTGTGAATTATAGTCGCTTTCTACTACAACCATAGTTTACGAATGTGGTCTTTCGTTGAAATCCTAATCCACAATCATAGTCATTATTTTTGTGTTATCCGTTTAACCAATATCAGAACACGTCACTAGACATAATGTTAATGTCAAATTATACTTTTAGCTTTTAAATTAACACCAACATGGCAGAAGATAAAAAAAGGACCATTTTTGAAAAGGTGCCCTTAAAAAAAGGACTACGGGGGTAATATTTGATAACAGAGGACTAAATATGAAAACCCTCTGTTATAAAGGACTAATTATGGAATTTACTCTATTAAATTGCATAACCTCGTATGATATTATAATTTTAGACTGAATTTGGTTTATGGTTTGATTTTAGAGTCCAATTATAAGAGAAGGACCAGTTAGAAAACTTTTTAGAAAAATGGAGTCTATTTTATAATAATAAAAGTTCTATTTGCCCAATTCAATTATTCAATTGTGAATCAGGAGTCTGGAGTGGAGACGCTCGCGACCCGACCCGCCGCGAGAAGCGAAGCTGAGGACGCCGGCGAGCTATAGGGTGACGAGGACCAGCAACGTCTGCACTGCACCGGCGAGGATTCCGTCTGAACCGGCGAGCGCCCAAGCTCAGATTCCAGCCGGCGACGTGCTTACCTTGCTATTTGTGAGCTACCAGCGGCAACACCGCGACCAACAGCTCCAGCAAGCTCCTGACCGGCAGCCGACCCACCTTCCCCTGCTCCAGCGACGAACATTACTGGCGAGCCTAGCGACGACAGAACAGAGACGGAGAAAGCAGCTCAGCTCCAGTCTAGATGGCAATTTTATCCAAATCCGACTTTTTCCGACCCGACCGAAGTATATAATATCCGAATCCGACCGAAAAAATTAATATCTGAAACCGACCCGAAGATTTTAAAACCGAACCCGACTTTTGTCGGGTCGGTTTTTGGTAATTAAATCTGACCGACCCGACCGACCCGATAAATAACCCGAAATTAAAAGGTCTTTTTAGGGCCCGTTCTCTAGAGCTTGAACTCTTAACTTCTAATTCCTTCAAGTTCCTTCCAGTTCTTTTCAGTTTCTTCCAGTTTCTTCCAGTTTCTTCCAGTTCCTTCCTGTTTTTTCCAGTTTCTTCCAGTTCCTTCCAGTTTCTTCCAGTTTTTTCCAGTTTCTTCTAATTTCTTCCAACTATATTTATTTTTTTCAAATTCTTTATACTTTCTGACAAATCACTCTAAAAATATATATTATTATTATTACAACTTTTTTTAATTACAACTTTTATGTTCATAACTATAGTTTATAAATTATTTCATTTTTTAATATCACTATTTTTATGATTCACATTGATTCTTCTAGTTTCTTCACCTTTTTAATATGAATAATACCATTTTTTGTATAATAATCTACATGAAAAATTAGGAAACTATTTAAAAAATTATGGATAAATAGTTATATACACTACAAAAAAAGAGGGCAGTACCGACAGATTCTTAGCGACAGAAACGTTATTTGTCGCTAAAAAGAGAATATTACCGATAGATAAAATTATTTGAAGGCAAAAACTATTTGACCCACAGAAAGAGTAATATCTGTCGCTATAGCTTATAATTTTAGCAACAAAATTTAATCTGTCGGTATTGCTTATAGTTTTAGCGACAAAACTTTATTTGTCAGTATTGTTAATAGTATTAACAACAAAAAATATATCTGTGGGTATTGTTTATACTATTAGAAACAAAAATTTATCTGTCGGTATTGTTTATAGTTTTAGCAACAACGTTTTATCTGTCGGTAGTGATTTTATTAACATTTAATTTAAATATCTTAATTATAAAAAACCATAAAAAAAATTTAATAATAATACTCTGTAATAACAATAACAACAATAAACAAACCAAATTGTAAAAACTCCCTACCCCACTAGTCCGGAAGTGACTACTCCGTAAGTTTTTACCGGGAGTATAACCTAATCGAATACTAATCGCACTCATCGCCAGAAACAAGTACTCCTCCGCGAGACTCATCGTCCCAGTACATCGCCATCGCCATCGCCAAAGACCAATACATCGCCATCGCCACAGAGACTCATCACCATCGCAAATTCGGAACTCTTCTTCGTCTCTTTTGTCTGAGCGTGTTCTTCACTCATCACACGCAAATCAGGTATGTCGGCTACACTTCTTCATCTTCTTCGTGGTCTCAATCTCTCATTCAATTTCTTTCTCAATTTATTTAACTTCTATTTTACAAATTTCTTGGTCATGTGCTGGTTAATTGCATGTACAACCAATTTTGTGATTTGAACCATTAATAATGTGGAAATTCGGAACAAGGAGTTCGAAATTGAAGGTTGGAATTTGGAACAGAGAGTTCGAACTCTATGTCCAGAACCGTAGTATTGTTTACATGTCCCTGAACCCTAGTATTGTTCACATGCCCAGACCCAAATTTTAGGTTGTATCTTTTAATTTTCGTTTAGCTATATTTTATACCATTTAGTTGCATACTCTGGTTTTATGCGAAGGACATTCCCATGGCATAAGGAGTTTGGAAAATTCGGGTACTTAGCTAACGTTAATTTGATAGAATAAGAATAAGGCAAAGCAAGTGTGTCTATCCTGCCATGTTCTAGGATGATGATGATGGCTTATTAATTAATGTACAATCTAAACTATCATTTGTGCTCTTTCTTTTGCTTTGAGGTCATTTCCAATATGCTTGTGGGTTGGTTCATAGGTTCAGAACATTGAGCTGTTGTTATCTCAAGTGTATAAATTGCAAACAGACCCCTACTAGTTGTGTATCAATGAATGCCCTCAAGCAAAACTGATTTTTAGTTGTGAATTGTGACATGACATTTATTACTAGTATTATGGAGTATGATTTGTAATTGAATATTTGAAGGCCAGTTGCAATAAAAGTTTTGCAACCCAATATGCTCTTTTACAGACATTAAGGTTCAAAATGCTTCTAATTGTTGTAAAGCTAAGATGGTGTTAAGGTAACTATATATAATATTTTTTAATCTAAATTTATATAAGGTAAATTGCATTTAAGGGTCTGGAAGAATAATATTATGAAAACCAAGAGAAAACTACATTTTGAAAAAAGAAAAAAATGACCCAAGAAGTGTAATATTTATGCTAATTTTTTATTCTAATTATTTTTTTAAACTAGGTTTTTATATATGAAAAATAATACTCGTAATATTTTTTTATCTTAAAGAGAATCATTAAGATAACATGATAACACCACCACCACCACCACCAACAACAACAACAACAACAACAACAACAACAACAACAACAACAATAATAATAATAATAATAATAATAATAATAATAATTTATAACAACAAGAATCAGAATGATAATAGTATAAAACCACACATAATTTTTTTTTAAGTTTTTTAAGATTTTTCAATTTTTTCTAGTTTTTCAGTTTCTTTTAATTTTTTTTCAGTTTTACCAATTTCTTCCAGTTCCTTCCAGTTTCTTTTAATTCTTCCAGTTTCTTCCAATTCCTTCCAACATCCAGCTCTTTTTTTCCAGTCCTAAAGAACAAGCCCTTAAAATATAAAAAAACTTTTTTCAATTAAAAGTACAAAGCAAATAAGCACTTGCACTTGCGGACTTAAGCACTTGCACTGCGGACTTAAGCACTTGCACTTGCACTTGCGGCTGTCTGGACTCTGGAACCCTAGTCGGATCTCCGTTTCTCGTATCCGCAGCCGGCACTCCGCAGCCTTCCTACCGGCGAACACATAGGCGAATCCGGCGATTCTTCTCATTCTCCATCGGCGATCACAGTGCACAGCGGCAATCTCAGGTGAACTCTCTCTTCCTGCTTTTCCTTCCATTCCACTGCGGTTGTTTATTCCATTTCTTTTTCTTTTTTTTTTGAATTTTTGCGAATTTCTTGGTCAGTCGGTCGGGTCGGTCGGTTTTCAGGTCGGGTTAGGCTTAGGTTTTTGTCAAATTCTCGGGTTCGGTTGCGGTTTCGGGTTTCGGTTCAGACAGTCGGGTTCGGGTTCGGATAGTATTTTATACCCGACGGTTCGGGTTCAGGCAAAAAAACCGACCCGATCAAAATTTCGGGTCGGTTTCGGGTAATGGTATATCCGAACCGAACCCGACCCGTTGCCATCCAGATCCAATTTTGGGCGTGAATTGCCCAATATACCCCTGGTCCACTTCTTTATTCTAACTTTAATTGTATCCCTTATTTGTCATTTTACTCCCACTTCCCTCTACACTATATATACTCTCCTAGCTCCAATATGTCGAGGAGCTCCCCCATATTCTTATTCCATGTTCTTAGGTTAGGGTTCATCTTCATGTTTTATCTTGCCTTTTATTTTGGGGAGTTCCGACATTAGATTTAATATTTGAATGCTTATTTACTTGTTTCTTAATATTAGCCTTTATTTCTTACATCTCTTCCTTGACTTTTCCTTCTTTATCACTCGAATCATTTTGTAAGAATGGTTTTTGAAGAGACTGGATACCAAGGTCAAGAATCCTACCCCGAGTACTCACAATTAAGCATTTCATAAGAATAACGAGGCATATAATGATAGTATCCGTCACACATGTAGTCATGTACTGTTAGTTATTGTTCACTAACAATGTGTCTAATATTTTTCTATGACATTCAAATTTCTCTTAATACTCTGTTAGTCTTATTGACTAGCTTTGTTCACACGAGTACAAAAAGGGAATACATTCTTTACAAAAATGACATTTCTAGGTGACAATTAGCAAAAGTACATTGACAAAAGCTACCATGCTTTCTTTGCCAAATACTACAAGCTTTCCAAAAAACTGACATGCTTGTTGTACAAAAACTGCCTTCCTTTCTGTCCCAAAATAGCCACATGCTTAATGCCCCAAAAAACTTTAAGTTTTTTATCCTAAAAACTTCCATGCTTCCTATCTTAAAAAAGCCATGCTTTATGTCCAAAAACAGCAAGGTTCCTATCCCAAAAAAGCCATGTTTTATGTCCCAAAAACTTTAAGCTTACTATCCTAAAAAAGGGCACACTTTCTATCTCCTGTTAGATGCTGTGCACTTCCACTGGTGTGTAAACTCCATTCCACTTCCAAAAATGACACCTGGTATTCTGTTCTAGCCACAGTTGCTAGGTCAGTTGTAACTGCCCTTGGTAGCTCACCAATCTTTTGATTGGTGTTCTTCCCAACATGGGAGATTTATATGCATTGGACCCTACGACTTTTATCACCCCCCCACCCCCAATACAATATTGGAGGCTAAGCCACACATAGTTTGATAGCTTTGGATCAAATTGTTTCTATGATTCTTTAACTGCCTCAACAAGTTCATCTGCATTCTTACATCTTTTTTCTTGCTGCAATGACTGAATTGTTCTGAAGTATCCCAAGTCAAGGACATTCAACTATTCAAGTCTGGACTGTTTGGGGGTTGGTTAGTTGAATATCAAACTCATCAGCCTTGGCTACTCTGAGAAATTCAACATCATTGTTGGATATGCGTGGTCTTGCATTATCTTGTTGCATGTAATCTGCTTACTTTCATCTCTAGGCCATTTCTGTTGGATTGCAGGGATTACTTTGTCCACTAAGAAAAACCTATACACTTCTTTGTTTACGGATGAAATAGGCTTCATTACAGGAGTCCCTCGTGGCCTATTTCTGCTCTTTTTAACAGCTGGTTCAGTAATAATGAAAGGGAAAATTCTTATTTTCCCATCAAACAGAAGCTCACCTTGGTCATTATACCTTGGTCTAGCCGATGCAGCTAAGAACATCACTTTTGTGATGAATTTCTTAAACTGTATGGTTCGGTGCAAGTTGTTTTCTTCGTGAGCATGAATGAAAAAGTTTTGGGTTACCTGAGTCATCTAAAACCACTTCTCATTGACATGAACGTAGTTGTAGAAGTCTTTAAACTTTGGATTACTTTTTACACTTGGGGGCACTGATTTGCTAAGACAAAACTCTAAACGGCTAACCTTGTTTTTCTCTGTTAAGTATGGCTTGATTGGGTTCGTATGAGCTCTGATTGTTCTAGCTTTGACCATATTATGAATGCTACTTTTTATTCTGATAGTACCTTTGCAAGCACCCTGATGGTTTTTCTTTTTGTGGGTGAAACAGCTTAGACTTCTTCAACGTTTGAATTTTCTCCCTTCCACAAGCTCCCCCCTTCTCCTTACTAGTCAACTGAAATCGGTATGCCTTGCTGAATTTGTTTTTTGCTTCTGTCTAAAGCATTTGGATTGTTTTTTATGACACTTGATGCTATTCTGCTACTGATTTCATATAACCCCTTCTTGGTTTGCCTCTTGACAAGGCATAATAGCCATGGAAGAAGAGAGATGAACAAGATGAGATGTGAGTTTACAGATGCATGCAATGAAAGAGTTTTTCTTGGAATATATGGAGTATATGCAATATTTATTTTTAAAAGTGGAGGGAATTATTGGGTGCAATTGGTTCTCCCCTATCAAAATGAATTTTCATCCATTGTATCTGTAATGATGGTTTATTTTCATTCACTGTAACCATTAGTTGTATTGTGTACGACTCCAATTGAAGTATGTACTCCATATGTAATGAACAGTGTGTTTTCCCCTTTTTTGAGTGTATCCATCTACCGAATAAAGTTACTCCCTAAACCAGTAGACAAGTGCAATTTGGTTATTATCCCACTTTTATTCTTCTTCCTTGGTCCATGTCCAAAGAGTGAAGTGCACAGATTCGCTCAAACAGAGGGAGTGTGTGTCTATATATATATATATATATATGTGCATAAACATGGTGCAAAGAGACAAGGTTGTTATATTGAACGATTGTAGGGCGAGAGATAGAGAGAGTTTGGGAGTGTGAGGTAACGTAGAAGATGAAGTTTAAAGCTTTGCTTTGAGACAATACTGTAAACTGTATATACGGATTATGTTTTTTGTTTTTCTGCACGTATAAATGTAGTGGGTTGCATGTCTTTTCTTTGCATATTTGGTGTCAAAGTTGATGTACTTTCATGCCATTTCAGAATTGATGCTATGGAAGAGCTGAAAGAACTTGTCGAGTGCTTCAGGGTGTTGTCGCCAGAGCTTATATCATGGACGCTGGCAAATAGAAATGATATTTGGGAGCACAATCCGAGAATGAAGCTTTCTGAAAGAGCTCGCAAAACATTGAGGTAACATATTGTTGAATATATAATGTATAAAATGAGGCTATTCTGTTCAAGTGGCGCTTTATTTCATTTCATGT